AAAGAGTGAGATACCAAAAGGTGGAGTTGAGGAGGGTAGCTCCTTTTGGGCCAACAAGAAAACGAAGTTCTTTAAGTGGCTGGGTGCCACTGCTAAGATTTTTAAGAAGAGGAATGACCGTTCCGACTAAAACTGTTTTGTAATGTCTGAGGTTTTGAAGCGTTTAGTAATAAATGTTTATCTCTGCCCTATGTTTTGTTTTGCTTCGGATGTTGGAACTTGGAAATGATGATGCCTCTAAGTTAGTCATTTTCAGTTGAGTCTGAATACTGTTTAATATTTCTGAGTGCATGTTTGGAACCATTTTGATGATGAATCTCTAGAATCAAGTATCTTTAACTTCTCTTAGAAATTGAGAAATTGGCAAAGAATAAGCGTTCAAAACGTATTCCCAAACACGCATTGATATGTGGATATTTATTTTGTCTCTGTTGTGGAATATAGGCACAAGATGTGCACGGGTCAAAAGAAAAGAGATAGAAACCCATCCAATGAGATAAAGTAGTCAAATATAAAGTTGTCTCTAAACCCATCCTAATTTAAGGCCATAGGAATACCCTTTACATATTGTACATGAAATGGTTGGTCGGCAAGGAATAAACCCCAATAAAGTGACGAAAAGGCCAAACGTGTCAATTAATAATGCGCCAAGACATAGATGCATGTCCAAGTTTCGGATGGAATAGCTTTTAAATTTTTAACACTAACAAGTCAAGTGAATAGAGAAACCAAAATAACTTATTTAACATTGGAAATTATGAATCATGTCTATGTATTTTGAATTAATTAATGAGAGCTATGCTTTCAACAGCAAGATCTATGGAATGAAGTAGATGTGGATTGAAATGGTGCCAAGGTACATTATATGTCTTCATTTCTTTATGACTTCTAAAAATATGTATGCATGATTGTTAACATTTTGTGAAAAAGATCATTAGACAGGGGTGGGCAAAAAGATGAGTAAAGTTTCCTCGTACAGTTGGAGAATGGGAAAAGAGTTTAATAAAGTTCGCATTTGGCGACACAGAATCATAATGGTGGAATGACAGTTGACAGGGTAATGGCGTTGAAGGCTCTTATGGTTTGTTTCACCCCGATGTAGTATGTATATTATTATTTATTATTTATTATTTACTAAATGTTGTACAAACTCTTTTTTGTCCTTTGTGAAATTAACCAATATGATATTTTTTATTCAAAAATAGGTCCACACTCTTCAACTTGAGGCTTTTTCAGTTGCCATCAGATGAAGACTGACTTCAAATGTTAAAAGAGAAAGCAATTGAGCTGAATGTAAATGAACATGTGGAATTTTACAAGAATGTAACATACAGGTTAGTACCTGTGGTCCTCCTTCTAATGATCATAAGAAACTGATAAAGTAGCTAGTGATGGATCGTCGAGTAATAGGACAACTTGCTCAATCAGAATCACAATATGCACGAAGATGAAGATCACAAGTGGAACAGATAAGTAGTCCTTGACTATTATCAGATTAACAATATCAAAACAGATGAATCTTATCCTAATACTCCCCCTCAAGTTGGAGCATGGAGGGAGGAAATGCCCAACTTGGACAATAAAAATTGAAACTGCTTTCTACCGAGAACTTTAGTTAGAATATTTGCAGGTTGGGAATCAGTCCGAATGTGTTGTGTGGAAATAGTTTTGGACATCACATGTTCTCGAACAAAATGACAGTCGAGTTCAATATGTTTTGTCCTTTCATGAAAAACTGGATTAGAAGCAATATGAATAGCAGATTGACTATCACAATATAGTGTCATTGGCATGGAATGAGAGACACTAAGATCTTGCAGAAAAGCTTTGATCCATAGTAGTTCAGAAGTGGCAACTACCATGGAACGATATTCAGCTTCAGCAGAGGAACGAGAAATGGTGTGTTGCTTCTTAGATTTCCATGAAATAGGGGATTGACTGAGTGTGATAAAGTAGCCAGTGATGGATCGTCGAGTAATAGGACAACTTGCCCAATCAGAATCGCAATATGCACGAAGATGAAGATCACAAGTGGAACAGATAAGTAGTCCTTGACCTGGATTACCCTTGATATAACGCAGGACTCGCAACTTTCAATTTGTTACTTTTTTCTTCTTTTTCACACACCTTTTTTTCCTCTTTCAGTTTTCACCTACATCATCTCGTCTTCTTTCAATTTCTCACCTAGGTAGTTTTAACTTTCTCGATTTTTACATTATTCTGTTCTTTCCTCACCTTTTTTACTTTATCATATGTATCCAGACCGTATAAATGGTACATGACAATATTGTAGTAAAAGCGGGGAAAGAGGAGATAATAGTAAGGAAATTGAAAGAGGAGAGAGAAAGAGAGTAATATAAAACTAAAAAAAAATAAAATTACCTATCAAAATAGGTGGGGTGAAGGAAAGGTAAGGGGGTGCATGTGAAAATTGAAAAAATAAGAGAAAATGTGAAAAAAAAAGTACTAAATTAAATATTGTAGATGTAAAATTTAAAAATTAAAAATTAAAAATTAAGAATATTTTAAAATTTTAATTATTTTTTTAAAAAAAAGGAGGTGTACTTATATATATATATATATAAAATAAAAAAAATAAATAAATAAAAAGTGTATATATCATGAACCTAGTGAAAATGGTATGAATTTGTAACCTCGTCCTTTGAACCAACTGGTCCATTTAAACCTCAGAGCCCAAATAAAAAAAAAGTCCAAACAAAGAAACATTCTGATAAAGTCCTAATTGACCATGCAAACAAAATGTGTCAAAAAGACAAACAAAAAAAAATTCATACAAGATAATAGTATGCTCTTATTTATTAAATTGGGGTACATAATATTTTAACACTCTTTTCCTAAACTAATATCATAGACATGAATATGGGAAAATTGTTATTCTTTGCTCACTTTTTTTTTTCACTCTTTTTTATATTACAGAAAAAATTAAGAATAACGAGTCCATATAAAAAAAAACTTGAAATAATGATATGCACATTGTAATGAATAATATTGATTAATTTGTTAAACATTCAAAAAGAGAGGGATTCGAATTAACGAGTGTCATTTTTTTTAATCTAACAATTATAACTATGACTTTTTTTCTTCTTTGCACATTTAATATTTTTTTGCGTTGATTTATAAATATAACTAGTATTTTAATTTATGTAATCCACATATTTAATATTTATTATATTTATCTAAAATTTATAATAAATTATATATAAATAATCCGCTGTTGCAGTTTTTATTTTCCCTCTGGTACCCAACACATCTATGCAGAATGCATACTTTTTATTCCTTAGTTAATGGCATGTAATAGTTGTCAGTTCAGGTAGCATTGAGTGCTAACCCGGATATTGATGATTGGTCTTATTTATTATTATATGTGGCTGTGGCCGATCCATTAGATTATGCACTGATTAACTAAAGAAACTTCTAACTGTTTAAAACTTTTAGACATAAATTAATGACTTGCTTTGCTCCCAAGTTTATGTACATTAGGTTTGTTACTATCAATTAGTTTAGGTATTAGCATGTACTTGACATTGATTGCTAGTTCAGGAATAAAAAATTGTTGGTCCTTTTGGCTTTCGCAAGTGTACCAAATCACAAAAATAAAGTGTTAAAAAATCGATGGCTGGACGCCATTATCAATTTAATATGGTTAATACTATTTAGACTACAAAATTGGGATTAAAGGGAGCTCGCTCTAAACAACTATAGACAAAAGAGTTAACTAAATTGAAAGAGGATTAAACTAAAAAATAGAACAAAAGCGAATGTTTCTCTAAAGAATCTAGAAATTTTGGGGGGAACCCTAAACCCTAAAAAAAGTTCCGATGGATATTGACTTTCACCTTATCCTTGTTTCTAGACTTGTGATTGGTCCGACTTATCTGTTAAGGAAGTTAAGAATCCAAGAAAAGTTGTGCCAAATACTACTAAATTAGAGAGATTACACTCAAATTAAGGAAATACAACTTACATTCAATATACAAAGATCAATTACTTCATCCAGGTCAGGTTACTTAAGAACTGTTACTATCATGCTGTTACATTTGAAAGTGTAAGCCTTGAATCAATCTCTTACGAAGTACAAATTATATATTAATTTGGATCTTGGTTAACATTATGTTTCAGATCAGATTTTTCAGTTTCATGTTTTCATTAAAATTACTTTATCACTTTTATCTCATGAAATTACTTTTGAATTTGTCAATCAAGATAAGGTTATCATGTACTTTTAGAACCTTAATTTTAAATGCTGTCCTACTAATGTATTCGTTGATTGCATTAACCTGCAGAGATTTGGTGGGACTTTCAGAGTTGCTGTTGCTGGCATTCATTCAATGACTGATGAGCATTTTGGCATCAGTGTTGTAAAATACATGGTTGCCGTTGCCAATTGAAATATAAGAACTTTAATGTGGAAACATAGCCAAAGCATTGACGTAGATAAGTATCATTTTTTTAGTTGAAAGTGAGAAACTAATATGGGTGGTGATTCATTTAAGAAGTTAACGTTTTTTTAGATGTTTTTTTCTTGTACACAAATATGTTAATTGATTTTTTTTTTCATCCATTTTTGAAGAAATAGTGGGAAAATATATGTATACTTTCACCTTTTTTCTGTTTCTTGTTTTCTCTTTTATGCTAAGGTCTCTTTCTAATAACATTAGATGGGCAGTGTACATTGTCAACCCCTTTGAGGCGTTGACGAGATTTTTGATTGTCGATAATAGAAGGAAATGTATAAATTGTAAAATGCTTTTTTTACGAGAGAAAAGATGAATCCTTATAGTGAAGTAGCTATCCTATGTCACTGTAAGAAAAGATAGAAAACGAAATGTGACTTATTAAAAAAAATTATCAAAATATCATACCTTAAAATATATTTATCAAAGTGTTATGTTTATTATTCATATTAAAAATTTGGTCTTCTCACTAACTAATTTTTTACATAAGTTTTTCTATTTTTTTATTGTAACCAAATTTTCAATTGTAGTTTTTTTTATTATAATTTTGTTTTTTTAATTATTATTTTTATAATATATTTTTTTTATTTAATTTATTATAATGAAAAATATTTATAACATATATAGCGACAAAAATTGGATGGAGGAACATATATAATGAGTAGTTATTTGGAAAGAATGACGAAAACAAATGATCATTGGTCAACCTATTCAAA